GTTACATGCAGGTGAGGAAGCAGACAGTTACTGCAGATCTTCTATGTTGTTTATTTTTGCTATTAGTTTTATTCTTTGTTTATTTCTCTCTTTTCATGCACTCTTTCTTTATTTCTCACCTCCCTTTCCATCTTCATGTCTTTTTAATATGATTTTACTCCCTAAATCATTTCCAATAGAGCTCGATCTGCAAGTATAAAGCAGAATCTCAGGGCTACAGTCCTACTGGTCTGCTTGTAAAAGCAAATCTGTTTGGCTATTATCTAGCTCTGGAACATCTATACCCAGAGCCGTGTGTCTTTACTCTTTACCAAAACACTGTTTCTCTTTTTTTTCTCATCATATCTCCTTATTTCTAATCATCAGCCAACTTATTCATAAAATGTTATCTGTGTGATCATTATCCGTCAAATAAAAGTTCTATAAATGATCTCCGCGGCTGTTATGTCTAATTATAAATCAGCCCAGTCGGGTTGTGATATGATACAGAAGTGACTTTTGATCGTTTCACTGCTGTGCTGTCAATCAGGTCTAAATACACCCAGTTTTTCCTGATGGATTTTTGAAGTTTAATTTTCCGATTGAAGACATCAGTAAAGGAGACAGAAAGGTGAAATGAGATTTCTTTTAAAGGAAGCCAAACCAAGCAGATCAGAGAGTTTTAAAGTGTTTCACAGCTCCTTCCTCTCTGACCTGTAGTTGCATGTTCAACGTGCAACGTGGAGCCAAAACGACAGACACAGCAATAAAAGGTGACAACAGTACAGTTCAAGCTGGGAACTTCGGACGCAGGTCAGAGATCCTCCTGACATTTATTGGATCCCACTGGAGCCGCCTAATCTGTATAAATACTGAAAGGAGGCTTTGGTCGGCCTCACAGACTTCACTGATCAAATCAGATCTGAGGTGAGACTCCAACCTTTTTATACCTGTAGCATTGTTAGCGGGGGGTTGATTCAGTTTGCATAAATTAGTGAAGCAAATTGGAAAATTTTTCCATCTTTAAATCTTTGTATCTGATGATATTTTACTTTTATGTCACTCAATTTTCCAGCTGTCATCATGAGGGTGTTTGCAGTAATCCTCGCTCTTGCAGTCATCTCAGGTGAGTTCATAAACCTCTTAACATCCGCCTCATATTGAGAAATTCTTACCTATTTTTCATTCCCAAATGGCAAAACAAATAACTACTGTAAGCCCAAATTACATGTGCAATACATTATTTGAAAGCTAAGACCTTCTAGTTTCTGAATATATATTCATATTATGGGTGAGTAGAACACAGACCAAGCTGCATCAGTTCAAACATGACTAAAATTGTTTTTTAATTCTCCAAAATGATAGGTCTATTATGAACAGCAGTAATAATATAATAATAGTTTTATTGTATTACATTTGTTCTAGATCATGTCAACCACAAATGCAGACATTTTTAAAACTCTAGCTACAGAAGTTCCAGAGCTGCACTGCAAAAACCATCTAAAAATGAGAAAAAATGTATTAAATTAAGTGTATTCACCATTAATTTGAGTAGGTAAATAAGATTATTTGCCAATGGAATGAGTATTTGTCTCAAAATAAGATAATTAGATAATATTCACTTGAAATAAGACAATGCAATTGTGTTTTCTTATTTTAAATGTAAATTGTCTTGTTCCATTGGCAAAATCTCTCAATTACGTCCTTTAATTCAAGAAAAAATTACTTACTTAGATTTAAATTTTTTGCAGTGTGTGGGGCTTTGAACTTTGGGTGTCACCAGTGTCTCCAAAATGTGCCAAACGCTTTTATCATATTTTTGCTTTGAAGCAAGTACTTGTAGTTTTTTCAGAATCAGTGTATCTAACAAAATGTAGAATTTTTTCCATCTATAATAACATAAAAATCTATAAAAGATAGTGAAACTGCTGCTTTTCAAGCTAAAATAAGCCGCAGTGCCTTTTTTGAGCTGTTTTTTTCCAGCCTTAGGCATTGTAATAAAACAAAAACAGCGTTTAAACTAAAAAAAAAAGGACTGTTATAATCATTCAGCTTGGAGCTGCGTGCATTGATCCAGCTGTAGCTGTTAGTTCCACTTTAACGCAAGCCTGCACTGCAAAAAAATAAAATCTAAATAAGTAATTTCTTTTTAAAATAAGTGCATTTGTTCTTGGATTGAGGAGGTAAAAGAGACATTTTGCCAATGGAACAAGACAATTTACACTTAAAATAAGAAAAAACAACTGCGTTGTCTTATTTCAAGTGCATTTTATCTAGATACCTTATTTTAAGAGTAAAAATACTAATTCCATTGGCAAAATATCTTATTTACCTGCTCAAATTAAGGATAAATACCCTTAATTTAAGAGATTTTTACTCATTTTGAGATCATTTTTGCAGTGTGTAACACTGTTCCCCTTTAAAGGGTGCAAAAAAAGGCCCTCAACTGGAGCAGGGATGCAGAGCAGTCTGTGTTTCCTGTAAAAAAGGGGGAAGGAAGACAGATTTGAAGACAGAAAAAGGAAACCAGAGAGAAACTGAGGAAGATTCATGGTTTTGAGACAAACCCGCAGGAAAACCGCAGCAGAGCGACTTCCTAAATGATCCGGGTTTTTTTTTGTTTGTTTCAGTGAAACAGTTCTGCTATAGAAAGATTCCTAATGTTCTTGAATTGTTTTTATTTTTATGCGGGTTGCAGTTTCTGCCCCGGTCCCCCCACTGGAAAAAATCAAAATCTAGATAAGTCATTTTTTCTTAAAATATGTGCATTTGTTCTTGGATTTTGCCAATAAAACAAGACAATTTACACTTAAAATAAGAAAACACAATTGGTTTGTCTTATTTTGAGTGGATATTATCTAATTATCTTATTTTAAGAGTAATAACACTCATTCCATTGGCAAATTATCTCATTTACCTACTCAAATTAAGGCTAAATACACTTAATTTAAGAAATTTTTACTTATGTCTTGATCGTTTTTCCAGTGCCTTTGCCAATGAGATCTGGATCTTAGATGTTTTATTCACAGAGATGTCTAGTGACAAAGTGCAAATACTTAAGTAGAGGCTATCTATACTCTATTGGATTAATTATTTTTCATTCAACTCTTTCTTTCTACTTCTTACATCTTTTGTGATGAAACACCATGTGACTGTATTTTGGCATTACATACTGCACTGGAAAAACAACCTAGAAATAAGTAAAACTTTCTTAAATTAAGTGTATTTACCCTTAATTTGAGTAGGTAAATGAGATAGTTTGCCAATGAAATGAGTATTTTTACTCTTAAAATACGAAAATTAGATAATATGCACTTGGAATAAGACAATGCAATTGTGTTTTCTTATTTTAAATGTAAACTGTCTTTTTCCGTTGGCAAAATGTTTCTCTTATCTCCTAAATCCAAGAACAAATGCAGCTATTTTCAGAAAAAAATGACTTATTTAGATTTTGATTTTTTCCAGTGTGGTACTGGGCCCGCTGGGCTCAAGGGGTTAAGATATTTAGTCCTTTTAAAAAAATGAAACTAATGTTTATTTAGGCAAAACAAATTGAATGATTTTAAATATTCGGAGGCTTTTTTTTTTAATTTACTGAAAAGATTTTCTTCCTTATATTAAAATATTTGATAAATAACTAAAATTTAACCAAAAACCCGAAGCCAGAGTTTCCAGTTTGCAACCAAAGACTATTTTTAAAAAGTGACAGAAGTGTGTTTTTGTCCACGCCAGGATGCCGTGCACGCAGCGTTCTCCCCAATGACTGGCAGAGCTCATGGGAGGACACGGTGGAAAAGTTCAATGATTACATCACAGAGCTGAACTCCAGGGCTGATGAGGTGGTGAAGGACATCAAGAGCTCCCAGATCAGCAGAGAGCTGGAGTGAGTAAATCCCATCATTCAGAACCTGCTTCTTCACATTGAGGGGACCTCCAACTGGAGCCAAACTGGTTTCAGATCCGATCCAACGGTGCAGAGGATCCATGTTTTTACACTGGAGTCATTCACACACAGGGAACTGAACAGCGCTGTGGGAAAGGCTGTAATCAGATAAAACTTCAAACAGTCAGATTATCGCCGCTTTCATATTTATATTTAAAGATTCAAGCAGGAATTAAAACATCAACGCTCCTTTTAATCTGAAACCTTCAGAAGGATTTGTTCTCCCCTCAGAGCTTCTTGTTCTTTACTTCTGGTTATTATTTACCAAAATATTTAGCAGCAGTAATCACTGACTATGAATGAAGTCATTTAGATATAAACACATAATCAGCCTTACAATAAAAATACTTTATTACACTAATCAAAACTAAGCGAAGGACATTTCATTCTTTATAAAAGATCTTTGTTTCCTTCATTATTTACTTTGGCGTGGGTTTACCCTCATTTGTCTATAAACATTTTGACTTTAATGTTGTTTCTTTTAATCAGATTTATTGATTCATATTTATTTATTTTTAGTGTTTTACACTACTTTTATAGCTCCACATATTTTTATTTCTGTTTCTTAAGCTTTCTTTTGACCACATGCTAAATGCTTGCACCACTAACACTGAACTAGCTTTGGAAAAGTCAGGAAATTGAATTTAGTTCAATACCCCTAAAAATATAAGAAAACTTAAAGGAAAAGTTCGGTCAGCCAGGAATAATCAATGGATCATTATTTATGCCTAAAACGAATACGTTTACAGTGATTTTATGAATTTAGTGTAAAAAAATAAAAACAATAATTTTCGTGGCGATCAATTAAATTCTATTCAGTTTATTTCTATAGCTCCAATTCCCATCATGTCATCTCAGGTCACTTTCCAGTTCACCAGATCATCCAGTCAGATTTATTCAAAGTTTTCCATCTAAGGAAAACCAGCTGATTGCATCGACTCATTGACTCTTCAGCAATCCCTCACACTAAGCATGCTTGTAGCGACAGTGGAGAGGAAAAACTCCCTTTGAACAGGAAGAAACCTCCAGCAGAACCAGGCTCAGTGTGAGCGGCCATCTGCTGAGGCCCACTGGGGTTCAAGGAGACAGAAGCAGACATAGAAAAAGAAGCATAGATACAAAAGGCAACTGTCAACCAGCTCCACAGGCGGCCCCGTCCAGGAAACACACAGCCAGGCAGACGAGCTCCGAGCCAGCTCCCATGTCAGAGGATGAAGAGAGCACATCCAGTTAGTCACAGTCAGAGAAACAGGACTACACTGGAAAACAGGCCAAGCTCCAACATCTAGAAACAAAGGTGTTGATGGCAGCAGCACAGCTGATATTTCTCTCCAGGATGGAGTCACAGCCAAACAGGAACAGACCAGATGAAGCTACTATGAGAAAAAGCAGAGAGAGCAGAACGTTAGAGATTGAACTAACAGATTCTGCAGAGTGGGAGAATAGAGATAGAATGAAGCAGAATGATGAAAAAGGGGTCCCTATGTCCTCCAGCAGTCTAAGCCTATAGGCACCAAATCACAGTCAAACCTGGTAATTATTTACTCCATACTGGCCAGTTTGAAATGCATTACTGGAAGGTAATCTTGACTTGAAAACCCGATAAGTAAACTGGTTTTAATGTGTCTCCCTAACAGCACCCTGATCCAGGACAGCATGTCGGAGCTGGCCATGTACAAGGACGACCTGCAGACCAAGCTGACCCCCTACACGCAGGATGCTGCAGAGCGCTTTGGAAATGACCTGCAGCTGCTGGCTGACAGACTGCGTGGACACATGACCGATGCCCGCCAGCAGATGGACACCTACGTCCAGGAGCTGCAGACCATGATGGAGCAGAATGTCGACGATGTCAAGAACCGAGTGTCCACCTACACCAGAAAGCTGAGGAAACGCCTTCAGAAGGACACCCAGGACATCCGCAGGTGAGTGAGACCGACTGACCCGCTGATGAGAAACTAACCAAAGCATCATTTAATGGAAACTTTCACACATCCCATCATGTTTAAGATCAAATACAACTGGATACTTTCCTCTATAATAAGCAGATGTTCACCGGCAGGGCTGGATTTAGGAAATTTGGGGCCCTAGGCAAAGACAGGCAGGGGGCCTCTGAATAGAGAAGACAACAGAAACAGCCCCATTCTACAGATAGAGAAATGTTAATAGAATAGACATCCATTATCTGTTCTAGGTTTTGTCCCTAATCCTCTTCCGTAGTGTTTGGACACAGGCAAGCTTGGAATGAAATTAGAAGGGGGCTGGTTATGCTCCCTGGGTACCTGGTCCTTCACTGAAATGATAAAGACAAAATATGATAAAGAGATTTAGACTTAGACAGATTTTATTTAGTCATTTTGTACACACACATTTAAACAAAAAGACATTTCATTAAGAACATCTCTCTAGACCAGGGGTTTTCAAAGTATGAAAGGGTGAGCCCCCCTCCAGGGAGCACTGTGCCTGCTGCGCCCCCCCACCCCCACAAAAAAAAAAAAAAATCAACCCACACACAAACAAACGTCACTACAAAACACCTTGTAATTGCTTTTATTTTAGAACCATCTCATCGTTTAAAATGAAATTTTATATATGAACATTTTAAAACATTTCCTCCCATTTTAATTATTTTATCGGGGCCTTTGTTTGGCAAATACGCCCTTTTTTCATTTTTCTAATGATAAAAACAATCCCAAACTCACTTTTCAACTGTTTTCTCAAACAAACGTTACATCTGAGATTCTGAGTTTAATGTTTGAGATACCAACAGTGTTTTCACATTTTAACAACAACATTTTGATCAGATCTTCATTGAGAGCTGTGGAAATTCAGTCCCTACTGACAGCCAAAAGTGCGCAAGTGACACGTCACTCATCCTCTGTTTCAAGTCCTTGTCACAGCTCAGCCAGAGCCTCTTCCTCTCCTGCTGAAAGTCCATCTTTGAGTGTCACGGGGAAGGAAAATGGGTTTCTTACCCACTGGTTTGCCATTATCTCCTCTCCAAACTGCTCGCGCATCCCCTCCAAATGCGCGCAGACAGCCTGCTGTAAAACTCCTCCTTCAGCCCCGCTCTGACCAAAACATCCTCTAAGGTGGGAAACATTTCCACTGATCCCCGCTCTACACGCGCACCCCACAGTTCCAACTTGGTCCTAAATCCATATTTATTTTTTCCCTCCCACCGCGCCTACCCTAAGGTGCTCTGGCGCCCCCCAGGGGAGGCACGCCTCACACTTTGAAAACCGCCGCTCTAGACTATTTCATTTTTTAAAGTGCAGCCTTGTGATGTGAAAACAGTAATGACTGTTATTGACATATGAATGTTATGGAAGAGGATTAGGGCCACTGGAAAACTGATTTTTAAAAAATCTTTTCTGTTTAGTATGGGGACAAAATCAGAATTCTGACTTTTTCTCAGATTTCTGACTTTAATCTCAGAATTCTGATTTTAATCTAGAATTCTGACTTTTTTCTCAGAATTCTGACTTTTTTCTCAGAATTTTGACTTTAAATAAAATTTAAAAATCAGTTAACTTTTTTTGTTTTTGTTTTTTCAGTGGCCCTATTCCTCTTCCATAGAATGTATAGTTACAGTTCTGAAATGTAGTTTTTAGTTGTTTTTTTTGAAGCAGACGTTTATTGAATTTGCTCCTGTTTTCTTTCCCAGACATGTTTCTGAGTACATCGAGGAGCTCCAGAGCCGCGCCTCAGACAACGTGGAGGTGATGAAGGCCAGACTGGACCCTTACTTCACTCAGGTTCGAGACAACGCCCAGGCCAAGATCACCACCCTGAACGAGCTGCTGAGGACCCAGGTGGGCAACCTGAGGGACCCGGTCCAGACCGCCGTGGAGGACATCAAGGGTCGCTTTGAGAACACGGCTGAGAACCTGCGCTCCACTCTGGGTGGGAAGATGGAGGAGCTGCGGAACTGGTTTGAGCCATACGTGTCCATGGTCAGAGACAGCTTGTAAACAGTGATCAGAACTGCTTCATGTGACAGAATCCACAATAAAAGCAGAATAAGACCAGATGTTTCTCCTCACCACACTTAATCCACAGCTGCTGTGAAAAAATGAAAGTTCAAAATAAAAACTGAAAAAAAAATTTCACAATGTCACCATTTTTTTTTGTCTTTAATGAGAACAACTGTTTTATATAACAGAGTAGAGATACTTGGTTATCTAATGTAATGTTAGCTATCTATCAGGGGTGGATGTAGGCAATATGGGGCCCTCAGCAAAGACAGGCAGGGGGCCCTCTGAATGAAGAAGACAACACATAAAAAAGGTTTTGTCCCTCTCTTCTTG